GATGGGTTGGGTACCGCCTGGGATCGGACAGTACCGTTAGCTGTTCCGAAACTGGAGGAATTCGGGTCCGGATGGCGACCATTGGAACGCCCGTCTAAGAGGCGGCCGGATAGCGGACCGCCATTAAATTCCAGCGCATATTGTGAAGGACGGTTGACTGGGCCTCTGTCAGGTCGCATGGCGGAACTGCCTCGTGAAATGCTCACGCCCGCGAGGGCTTCCTGCTGTTCACGGGTTAAATAGTCGCGAGCGTCACAGTATGTCTGGCCCATACGGCCAGGGACAGGCGGGGGTGGGATACGCAAGCGGACCGACCGTATGTATTCGTCCTCGGAGATCTCACCCTGAAGCCTTGGAAGTGCTGGTGCATAACTGTGCGCGACATTGTTCGCATAAGGTGCAGGTTGCAACCCAGGAACAGGCTGCCCAACCTCTTGCGTCCCAAACTCGTTATTGGCAGTGGGAACCTCAGACACAGGGCGCGGGCTATGTCCAATGGGACTTCCTGTTTCTGAAAAGTTGGCGGTTAGAAAGGTGTAGAAATTGGGTGTTTGATGTTGTATCCATGGAGTTCTTGGGCAGAAAATTGGATTAAAATAACATACCTGTAGGGCGACGCGGCGGCAGTCCCTCCCGGTCAGAGGAGCTCGAAGGCTTACGCTGAGCTGAATTGCCATTGGCAACTTAGAATTACACAGGTTAGAGATCTGTGTCCAAGCTGATGTCTTTATAGGATTGGAATATCTACCTGAACTCCCCTGGCTTTGGCCAGAGACGCGACTGTTGTCCCGTTTCTTGGGAGGCATCGTGCCTGGGAAAGACCGGAGGTCTAACGGGCAAGAAGAGTGAGATGACAAGAAAACCAAGCCAAATATATGGGCTGGCAGAAGACACGAGAATATGTGCAAGGGGATTCGGTTGTAATTTATTTAGAGTGGCTGACGAGACCTTAGAAGTTACTTCAATGTCCTGCGGGAACGCTTGGGACCAAGGCGAGTGAAGTTGAACGCAGATGAAGGTATCAAGAAAACCAAGTGGTCAGTATGATCAAGAGGAAAATTAGAAGAGTTGAATAAAGAAGTATTCAGTATGTTTTCCCTGGAGCCTTGCAAGAATAGGTTGGATGGACTGCATACGTGACAGGAAAATCGTTGTGGGTGGAAGAGAAGGGTTTGGTGGACTGTTCTGCTAGATAATGTGGGATGAAATAAGAAGAGATAGAGAGGGGCGGATCTTCCAAGCCCAGGCCAGATGTGTAACTGCCTTTTCTAAGAACACAGGGACCATTATGGCCGATATGGAGGAGGTTCGGGCCATGCTATATGACTCTGGCCAATGGCTCGCTGCGCATCCTCGGGGACCCGCCTGTCTCTCGGGGCGACAGCAAGCTTCACGATGATAAGATGGGATTTCAGCCAATGCGGCCCAACCTCTAAGAGTGAATGGCCTTGTCTGTGCCTATAGGTCGCTAACAACCCAGCAAAACAGAACAACAAGTGCAGTACAATGGAAGCTAAGGAGCTACTTATTTCTCACAAGAAACACATATTAATAGCAACTCAGATGTAAGCAACTCAGATGTACGCATCTTGTAGAGGAAGTCACAAAAAGTAAATCTGGACTTTCAGTGACAGCATAGAGAGCCCAGTGGCAGAAATGTCAAAGTGCTGTATGTAACAGGCAACTTGTAAAGAGGTAACGCCCACGCAGGCAAAGAGAAGGATGCACTGTGCTGGCAACATATATTGTGCAGACTGGAGGAGTTTCTGATCCCATATGATTAGATCTTTAACAAAGTACCTATGAGAAGATCCCTGAAACATATAGGTCTTGCAGCATGAGTATGCAACTTGAACACACCTGACTTCATGAAAATCTGGCAACGGATGGTAATACGGGGCGTAGCGAACCTACCCGGGACATGCCTGTAGACTGCGGGGACACGCCGTTATTGATCATCACAGTGCAGTGGGTGATTGCAAGGCCATGGCCAATCCAATCCAAAACTGTTCAGAGCAGTTTATAATTTGTCAACGTTGTAATTCACTTTCTATTCAAAAATATCGTGAAGGTCTTGAGGAATTGTTGTCTGTAGTAGGTGCCTAGCCCGCGGAGATACAACAGGCTCCTCCATAGAAGCATGTCCCCGTGCCTGCCGAGTCCCAATCTGAACATTTTAGAACAGAATGTTAGTGGCAGAGGATAGTCAATTGTAGCTAAAATTGCAAATGAATGTAGGGTGGTTATTGTGAATAACATGCAGCGGGGATTCATTTGTGTCTGGGGACAGAGGCATCCAATTCTAGAGTAATGGCTTCCCAGGAAAGAGTGGTAGGCAACAAAAACATCTGTGTTTGCATCTATTGGCGAACAATGAAAGTTGGATTCAGATAAAGAAGGATGGTGGGTGAACACTAAAGATAGCTGTGATAATGATACCCAAAGTGTCTGTGAAACGAATTACTGTGAAAATCGGACGGGACCAACTGCGTGAGTACGTTCGTGGTTCGAACACCTACCACGTGCTCGAGCGACAACAAATCAATAATATAACTTGACAATGGGACTTGGTAATCCCTTCAACAGTTGGATACCAAAGGGGATGAGAGAGGCTGGGTGTATCGTGGAGAAGGCTGCACAACCTTGTGGGGGAATAACGGGCAAAGTGGGTAGGTAAGTGGGTAGAATGGGAAAGAGCAGCGGTACTAATACCTCACATCTGGATAGTAGCGAGACGGGGTGAACTGGGCCCGGGTGCAGAAGTCCTTGGAATGCAAGAGTCGAAGCATCAGGAAGAGTTTCCAACCTTAGGATACATTTAACATATGAATTCTACAACTCTAATTTACAACAGGCACATGGAGTTTGTGGGGGCATGCCAATGAAAGTATGTTGCCCGTAGTTGCTGCTTCCAGGTAAGGACAGTCACAGACAATTGGAATTGTTGGGAGATTTCAGAGGAAACAAGATAGACTTCGGAGCTGGGTTCTCTATCAACTTGCTTGATCAGAAAAAGAAGCATGGGTGTCCCAAGGCTTTATAATCGCGTCTCGCTCCATCAGTAATAATGGCGTCGAGCAAATCCCTTTGGTCTTCTGCAGTAGTTAGGATAAGATCCTTTGGGATCTAGAGGGTTACATCGATGTTTTAGCTACCTAGGAGGCACAACTTTCGTGCAACAAATACATAACCGGCTCCTCACAGAGGCATTCCAATCACATGTGGCAACACAACATTGGAGACAGCCCATTCCCCGGTTCCTGCGAGGCAACTCCATTGCAGTATCATCCACGCATCCTGCAATTTCGTGCCACAGGCGTGGAAAACAATGGCCTCGAGATTGAGAGATTCGCCGAGTGAATTGTTGGGCTGGGAAAGGATCGTAATCGGGTTTGTAGAGAGGACCCTGTGGGATGGTGTGTGACTAATTCGGCCTAAAGAGGCTGGGAGTGGCGAGTTGGCAATATTCCAGGTTTTCGCTCGGCAAACCCTTTCATGAATCCCGTATCCCACACGGAGAAGAACGTGAAACGCAGTGGTCCCTGCGATGAGGTTGGTGTATACGCAGCTGGGGTCACCCTTGGTTGTCACGCTGCCGATGCATGTCCAACCGCCGGATTTGAAGTGATATTGGTTGACACCGTCCTCATTAGGAATAATTGCCATCAGAGTGTCTGGAGAAGTCTGGTAAATGCAGGCAGCACCTGTAGCCCAATCTTGAATCACCAGTCCTTGACGCCAATGATGTTGACGTTCGACTGAGTTGTTATTCGGTCCATATTGAGCACAGCGATAATGTATCGCCTTGCGGTATTTGTCAATAAAAATGGTCTCCAGTGTGGTCCCATCGGAGCCGTTATCCATAGACAACTGGCTCTGCAATAAAGGAGCTGGGTGGATAGCTAATATCAGGTTATATGTTAGTGTTGGTTCAGAATGGGTCTGGGAGGCTTAGATGTAGAAAGCAGAACTCTGGGTCCAAAGTCACTTAAGCAAATAGACCCTACTATACATCAATCAGGAGGAATGGTAATAGGAAGATAAATACTGGCGACAGGAGATGTTGGCCCCGAACCAGCAGTTACGGTTGATGAAAGCCGCCAGGCATACACGCCGTTGTCGACAGGAATCGTGTTATCGCGCGTGTAGTGTTGCAGGGTACCATGGTCTTCAAGAACGACCACCTCAAAATCCCCGTGCTCTTGATTGGCATGATGCTTCGAAATACTCTGGATCATCGAGCCGCCGGATTTAGGGTTACTGGAGACTACTGCGCAGGCAGACCACTGACCCGTCATCTGCTCTCGATAGAAGTGCACAAGCTGGCGCTGAGCATTTCCGTCGTAGCCGGAAATATTGATGACAGCTTCCAGGTTGCCGTAGGAAGATTGACACAGACGATTCATGGTTAAGTGGATGCGGACGAGAGTTGGTGATGCTGCAGGAGGGGCTGATGGGATGTATCTTGTGACGAAATAACCTTGCTTGTGGGCTCGGGAGATGTAGACTTATTCCGCAAAGAAGGTGGTTGGGGGGTACCGGCGGAACAGAAATGCAAACACTTATTCAAATTGACACGGAAGCCCTGCTTCATTGCCTGCCTCATATTCTGATCTGATCTAGACTCGCAGAATTTCCAATCGGCACCTGTTACTTGACTTACAATATTGTCCAATAATCTTCAATCAAGCAGTTTGTAGTCCCAAAATGTCTCTTGAGAGTGACTGAAAGCGATACATCTGCCTGCATTTCTGTTTGTCTTTGATCTAAACATGCCATCACCCGAAAACCTATGACTGAGCCTGTCAAACGGACAAAGTTGCTGGTTAATGTGTTGCCTATTTTTGTTGTATAAGCAAACACATGGCTCTCTTTGCTAGCATAGCCTGTCGGCATAGTTCAGCTCCTTTCCACAAACAATGGGAGGGAGGGAACAGGTCCAAAAAGAAACTCAATTCCCATGAATGGAGAATGCTAATTTTGCAGACAAAATAAATTCAAGGTCTCCCTGGGAATCGAACCCAGATTAGTGGAATCAGAATCCACTGTGATAACCATTACACTAGGAAACCGATTGGATTTGCTGGATTATTGGTCCAATTTTCTACCTATATGTCTTTTGTATTTTGGCGGTGCGATCACGTGGGTAGAATCAGGCACAGACACTTGGTTTCCTCAGAGTTTCTGGTCCGGATCGGACAGGGATCCTGCTAAGTACTTAGCCTGTTACGTAATCAAATTCACCGCGTGGCGTTACGCAGTGCGTCCTGGGATGGTGTCTATTTTGCATTTGAGAAGCCACTCGCAGATGCCGCCTTCAGTTCAATGCGGCATCGGTAATACGCTTTGTTCACATATTTTACTCACAATTGGCGCGCTGGTAATGTATAATGTGTTCCAACCCCATTCGTCGCTCGCGTCGTTCTCACGATGAATTACTCATATAAGCAAGGTGAAGGGTGACATATCCGCCACGGCGCATTGATTACATTAGATACTATCGATCATAGATAGGGCATCTCCGACTTGCGCCAGGTCCTCGATAGCGGCCAACCCGTAGAGTGCAACATCGTTGGTCGAGATCCACGCCGCTTCATCCACAGATGCTAGAACCTCACTGCCAGTCAATCGCACACTTGCCCAAGGCGCTGTCGGCGCGAACCCATCCGTGTTTAAAAACTCGTTCCACGCCCTCTTAGCGAGCGTCGCATTTCCTAGCCGCTTCGCCGCATAGGCCGTCAATCGCGAGTGTCCTTGGCGGAGGCTCAGACTCCCAAACGACTTCCCATACCGTGCCTTCTGCTCGTCCCCACCGGCGCCGTAGTAGTAGCAATAATCTAACCAAGCCTTGTCGAAGGCCTCTGGTAAATCATCACCCAAGTATTGAGTGATCTGGGCGACGATCTCAGGCAGCCCGAAGCTCGCAGAGAGATGCGACACCGCAACGTCGCCCTGGTTATTCGGATCTGTGGCTGGTGGCTTGATCTCCCCGGTGTAGATATTATATAGCCCCACGCCCGTCACGAAGCCATTTTTCAACGACGCAATGCCCTGCATTGTGGCGTTCAGTTTCGACTTGGCCTCTTCCCAGCGTGGCCCTCGGCGTTCCCACTCGATAAGCCAGACCGCCGCGAGCCCGGAGAAGTCGATGCCGAGATCGAGGTCGATAGCTGTCGGATCTGGGACGTATGTGCCGTTGTCATCGCGGACCTTGCGTCGCGGATCAACTGTTAAGAACGTTTTGTCCGCATCCATAAGGTCGTGGAGAAGCTCGCCGATGCGTTCGTCGCCGCCAGATACGTAGTAGAAGATCTGCCTGTAGATTGGCGTCGAGACCCTGATCTGCTTCGCACTGTCTGACCAATGATTCACACCATGCCTCGAGCCGAAGCCACTGTAGGGACCGAGGTGGTAGACGTCAACCTCGCTAGTGTGCCTCACATGGGCTTCGGCAAACCGGTAGACGTCTGCACGACCGGTCCGAAGGAAGTAATTCCAGAAAAAGAGATCCGGTGATAATTCTGAGTTGTCCCATGCATATCCACCAATATCGTAACGCCAGACATGACGGTCCGTGTCGTACGTGTGCATGAAGTCACCGTAATCCCAGAAGCCATACCATTTTCTCTGCTCTATCTGCCCCTGATAAAACTTATTAAGGAAGTCTAAATGCGTCTCAATTGTCTGCACGACTTGTGTTGCCGTCGTATTGTTGGGCGTATCCCAATAGGTTCCGATTGCTTCAGTTTGCTTGATGTACTCGGGTTGAGGGACTAACACAGGCGGCTGATTAATGAAACCCGTTAATGACGCGAGTTCACCTGACGATGGCGTGTTGTCAAATGGTCGAATAAATATCTCGTTCGTTCTTCCGATACCATGAGGAGTGTTGTATCCGTCTTCGTAGTCCTCATATGTGATCTCCAGCGCATCCAGCTGTTTCGCGTACGTGTCTTCTCCAAGGCCGTCGTGAAAAGGGCGTAAGTCCATCGGTTCACCAGCCGGGCTATACAGCCATAATGTAATTTGTCCTGAGTCTGTAGCCGCGTTTGATATATCGATGCTGGTCGGGTATCGCTTCCAGAAGTCGCGATGTCCGATAGCTAAACCGCCTGTTGTAGCGCCTCCGAGATAAGCCAGGCCACCGGCCCGAGTTCCACCAGGAATCTTTACCCAGCTTTGCCCGGCTTTAGTCCGCTTCTTCAATGTAAATCCATCGGGAGACGACTGTGTGAGCGTATAATCATTCCAAGCCGGAATCCACTGCAATCTCGAGTTGACTGTTGTGGCCCAAGTGGTAACATCTGGTGTTTTCCTGCCATCGAATTGGGCGGCACGAACCGCTTCACCTGGATCTCTGCGCAAACCGGTAATTCCCTGTACGGCTTCGCTTAGAAAGCCACCGTCCACGCCGGCGATTCTCACATGACGATCGTATAATTCCTCGCCAGCCAGGGGGATATCGAAACGAAGCCCGATTCCAGTTATGAAGTCCTTGTCTGCTGCCCCGTCGAAAAGAAGTGTATGCACTATCTTGATCGTATCCGAGTTGGCGTATAAATAGAACCGCACTGTAAATGGGATCCAAGGATCATGTGTCACTGAAGACTTTTCATCACCGATACGATGGTCGCCTCGAACCGTGACTAGCGTTCGTACCGAACTATCCTCATCCACCGTCGTCGTGTTGATTTTCGATTCCAACTGGTAATAGTTAATTTCTTCATTCCCTGAGATGTCCCCAGCGTCTACAACTCCCGATTGTGATCGTAGAACGAGTTTGCCGTTCTTGCCCACGATCTTCCCGCTAGGTGTGCTCAAAGAACTGAGAAGTACATTTCCTGATTTCGGAAACGAAGCCGTAAGCTTTCCCGTATCCACCGTAATCTCATCCTGTGCGTTGTCCACCTTGACAGATCGCCTCTTGGTCGCTCGGGAAACACCCTTGGAGGTAGTGATTTTATACCCGTCAGGTACCGACTCAGAGCCCGGTACGGCATGGCCTGTCCATTTGATAGAACCATCGGCCCAGTACGACGTTACCCATGACTGAAGAGCCACATCCTCACCACCGTCGGTCGAAGCCGAGAAAGTAACCTGATCTCCTAGATGCTCGCCTTTCGGCCAAGGCAGGCCGAAGGTAGTACCAAGATTCAAGGCCGGCTTGCCTTCGAGCCACCTTACATTGACCGCATCTGACGAGCTATTTTGGTTTGATGCTAATAGGGTCCGGCTAGTGACGCAAGGCAGATAGAGCGCCGAATAGATCAACACATTGAGATGCATCCTCGATTCTATTGATCATGACGGGGGCACTTCAGATGATCGGCCCATCGGCCAAGTGATGGCTACAGAAAAAGAGAGCCGGTCGCATGTATTTAGATGTTTCCATCGCATCGCTCCGGATAAACAGCTTCATCTGAGCTAAAACGGAATCAAAGTCAACTCCGAGGCCTGGATCACTATCCTCTCGGACTTCATTGTCCCGAGCTAGGGCTAAACGAAGGGGATCGGCATAACGTCTTCATTCGCGCACTGAACCATGCTCTCGGCCGGTCCTCGATCTGGAAGAGTCCACAAATCGCGGTGCAATAAACTTGGCAACCGTCACCCATGCTCCTACAGTAGGCTCACATTTATCGTAATTAGTGTATACGTGTAGCAACACCTGCGGGGTTTGCAGGGATCGAATCGCATCGTGAAGCTTGACTATGATCGTTACATCGTAGAGAGCGGAGTATTGGAGACTTCTCCCCAAAACCCGGGATTTCGGTGAACTGACGCTTGGGGCGGAGCTTGGATGGTCAAAGTTCTGGCTCGAATTACGCCATATTAAAAAATGGAAATAGTAAACCCAGTTGGTTCTTCTAATTTGCCGCCGGTCTGTGATCTGGGGATATAGCTATTATAATACATTTTGCGGAGATTTTATGTAGACAACGGGGTGGTATTATTGAATACTACATATAAAGTTCCACTCGCAAGTACAAAGTGTTATACTAACAGTATTACGAAAGCAAAGAAAGATCGTCATACACAACATTCAATGAAAAGCTAAATCACCTGCACCGTGTCGGAATCTTGATATTAAGGAGTGCATAATGCATCGATATGGAAAGAGGAAAATAACGGAAAGGGTAGCGGGAAGTTGCGATTATCTAGTAATAAGATCACGCATGGCACCTAATGTGCTGCACTTTGAACCTGTCCTAGACATTGACCTCATCGGCAAACAGATTTTGGGAGTAGGTTAACCTTGGATAATATACCCCATACTATAACGTTGTTGTACCGATCCAGCGTGCGGTAATCTCAGTCCACCCTGGAGACAATATACGGCACTGGTCTCTCTCCGTACTGCACGAACTTTCCTGGCCATCAAACAAAAAGCTTCGCATCATGACATCCGTAAAACTCCCCGTAGCTCACTCATTCATCCTAATCAATTATATCCGTAGACGGCCAAGATAATCTCATTGCCATCTTCTGATCAAGACGCCATTCGGCACCACCGGTGTCATCGGAATCATTGGGTATGCCGCAACCATCGGTACCATAGGAACTGCGGGCTGAATGAAGACGGGAGGTGGAGGTGACGGCGGCGGTGCGACGACCACGACCGGCGTCGGATGGTATATAGTGGCTGGCATGAAAGACTGAACGAAGCACATCTTGATCGATTTCCCGTTGTTTTAGTTGTGTCGAATGGACTTGATGCTGTCACTAGGTGTTGCTTATGAGGAACGTTGCCTCGGTAGGCAGATGAGCAGCGAAAAGGAGATATGGGCTATGATGAAGCCTGTCGAGATAAAGTATGTATACGCACTGTAAAGTTATCATGCGAGTATACCGACAGAAGAGGGACGTATTATCAGAGAACGGGCGGGAAGCAGATTTATATATTCCAGCTTGCGTTACGAACAAGAGACAGTAGGTATCTATGCTACTGACATTGTTTGTTGTAACCGCCCCCTCTTTCACTACTGTTTGTGTTGCTCTTGGCCAGTCCAATCGTCTGAGATATAAATCAACGCAGTTGCATGTGTGTTCCGTTTCATTTCATTAGAATTCT